CGGGCAGGCTGGGGCCAGCAAGCCAAGAACATCGACGTCCTCGAGGGCCTACCCACCGAGGAGCGTATCGAGCTCATCCGCCGCAAGGTCAACGACGTTTACCGCAAGACAAAGGTCGGAACCTCGGAGATTCTCGACGTCATCCCCATGCTCACTAACATCGAGCGCCGCCTGCAGGAGCTCTTTCGCCACGTCGCCGCCCTCGACGAGTCAGAGGTCGAGGCCGAGGAGAAGGCCCGTGCCAAGCGTGAGAAGGAGATGAACCGCCGCAAGACAAAGCAGGAGCAGGCCGCCATCCTCGCCCAGCGCAAGCTCGACCAGGATCGCCGCGCCCGCCTCCCGCTCAAGCGCAAGGTCGGTAAGCCGCTCATGCGCCGCTCCAACCCGCACACCAAGAAGCAGACAAAGGTCGACTCGGACGCCGAGAAGCAGCAAGACGCCGAGATGTACCGCTACTTTTTCCTCTGAGCTACAGTAAACGCCGTTCGCTGTCGCCACCCGCCACTGCCCTCACATCCGGCTCCCACTCGCGCACAGCCGACACCGCACCCGATGCTCACAGAGCCACGCCCCGAGCACAGCCAGGAAGACATCCACCTCGGCTGCGGTGTTGTACACGTACGGCGCCACCCGGAGCCCACCCGATCGCGCAGAGACCACGATGCCGGCGGCCTTGAGCGCAGCCGCCGCAGCCTCGGCGCAGCCTTGGGCCCCAAGCCCCAAGCCGACCACATGCGGCGCGTGGCAACGGGGGACACGCAGCCCGAGTGCCCGCCCACCGCTCGCCACTCGGTCGGTGAGAGCCGAGACCGCGCCGGCAATCGCCGCCGGCCCGCCCCACTCGTTGATCAGCTCCAGCCCACAGAGCGCCACAGGAAGCACCACCGGGTTCGGCCGCCCGCCGCCATCGAGTCCACTTCCAGTAGCCTTGACCGCGAGCGGGTAGCCAAAGCCGGGCTCGTACGGGAGGCAGCCGTCGGAGCTCCCGCCGGCACGTGCTCGCTCGTGGACGTCAAGTGGCGAGAGCAGCGCCCGCGCCCGAAGAGACACCGCCACCAGCGCCGCTCCGTACACACCACAAAGCCACTTGTGAACTGAGGCCACCGCTACGTCCACGCCCAGCTTGTTCACGTCGAGCGGGATGACGCCAAGTCCCTGGGTGGCGTCAACAACGAGCAAGGTCGACGGCGAGAGCGCGTCCCGCGCCGCCGCGATCTTGTTCAGCTCGATCAGCGTCCCGTCGGTCCATCGCAGCGGCGGCAGATTGATGACACTCACTGTGTTGCCTCCATGCTCCGCATTTGCTTTCAGCTCGACCTCGACTTGAGCCGTTATCGCCTCGCTCGTCCCGTCCACAAACACAAGCTTGGCCCCGACCGCCTGCCACGGGAGCACCGCCGACGAGTTCTGATCCGCCACGCACACGACTCGCAGCTCACCACCGGCCTCCTGAGCAACCTGGGCGAGGGATCGCGAAACAAGCGTCATACAATACGAGGTGGATGGCATAATGGCCACTTGATCGCCGCCGCTCTCGCTGCCGACCAGTGTGGCAAACGCCTCCCGCAGCGCATCAGGCCGCTTGTCGCCGTCGAGCTGCCATGGTAAGCACTTGGATTCCAGCGCAGCCTTGCCTACTGCAGCACATCGCTTCGGTAGCGGTGTCCGCGACGCGGCTGACAAGTAGATCGTGCCCCCCATGTCCTCAAACGCGTCGTGCCACGGCGGCTCGCTTGCCATCTGAAAAAAACCCACCCCAAGTCAAGTGTGCTGCTCGCCCGTGGCAGCAGCCGTAGCCAACTTCAGCCGTCACTCCACGCTCACACACTGCATCGCACGCGCACAAGCTTACTGTCCAGTACACAGCATATCGGCCACGGAACAATTGCGGCTGCATCGCTTTGTGGCGCGAGGTCCGTCAGACAACGACTGAAACCGAAACGTACTCCTTACTAGACAACTCTCTTGCCGCCTGCGTAGCTGTCAACGCCACCGCAGCAGTCCATCCAACACTCCATCTCCTTGGATGACCTTTGCCGACACTCTATATGCCTATGAGTGGGTCGCTTGCCCTCTTGCCTGCAGCTCAAGTGCTCGGGAGCAGGCAGTGAAGTACATCAAGAGAAAAATTGTGCCCCTTGAAAGTGGGGTATGGTTTCACGCCGGGCCCCGCGTGCGTCGGCACGTGGCAACTCCCGCACCAGCGGTCGACACACTCGCCAGCTCAGCACCCTCCGCAACCTTCGACCCGAAGCAGCCCGACCATGCGAGCCGAGGTAGTAACCAACGCATAAAAGGCACCCCCAACATGCCATACATGCAAATACCTACTTAGGCTGCTTTGCCTGTGGGGAACTGCCTTTATTCTCTCCACAGCCTCCAACTCCACGCGGTGGTGCAAGACGACGAGGTGAGGAGAAGGAAAACTCAAGTTGGCGCCTCCTTCATCAGTCAAACAAACCATCAATTGATGGTTGCGCACCACAAACCTTCGACGTCAACAACGACGGCAGCGTCGAGCGTCGACCGCATCACCTCGAGCTTGTTCAAGAGACAGACACAGCCACAGCCAAGAGTGTCCACCTTCCACACTTGACCCTCTACACTCTCCATCCACCCACCCACCCACCCATACCAACCCAACAGTCCTACAGCACCTCTTCATACCCCCCTCCTCTTCCCCCTCCGCCCTTTCAGCCGCTTCTCCCCGCCCTCTCTCTCCGGTCCCCGGTCCGGCTCCACCACCACCCAAATCCCTTCAACTTCAATCATATCCACAACGACAACGACACAAGGTCGCCTTCCATATGTCTACGCATACGCTTCCTGATGAGCTTATGCGAGGATCGTTGAAGCAATGGGCAACACGGATATGGACAAGGAACCGGTTGCCATCATGTACCTTTGGTGATCAACTCAAGGCCATGAAGATGCGAAAGGTTGATCGTCGGTCTTTGTGGAATGCGCTCGTCTTTACACATGGTGAATCACAAGCTGCTCTTCGTGCTCTTGGTTGCGGCGACTCGTCGGTCTTGTCCAGTTTGAGCGAGTCGCACATGTCACCTCTGGTCGAGAGCGTTGCCAGATCCATGCCCGAGTCATCCACTTCGCCGGTGGCATCGTCGGCTGGTCCTGCATCTGGTGTGCGACCCAAGTGGAGTAGCAAGCACTCGGCTTCGGCGTCTGCGCCTGCGCTGCTCTCACTCTCGGTCTCGGCGATGAAGCGGGCACAGCCTGCTGCGCTGCAAGTCTACCAGTCGGCGGTCATTGTCAAGGCGCCAACGGGATCGGGAAGCTCACCCAAGACGGCCCAGCTACCACGGCTAGCGCCGCGATCGCCAGTCACCGCACTCTCGCTCTCGCCCAAGCGCCCGCGGTTCGAGCTCTCGCCGTCGGTCTCGGCCGAAGTCTCACCGGCAGGCACGCCCAGAGCCAAAGCGTCACGGGGCGGGAGCTCGCCAACAAGTTCCAGCCCGCCGACAAGCAGGCGCGCGTCGTCAAGGCGCAAGTCGCGCCGCGCGGCGGCAGCGACGCCGGCGAGCAAGCCCAAGCCGGTGGCAGCAGTCAAGAGCTCGTCGCGCGCAAGCGCCCGCAAGGCGCGCCAGTCGATCTCCAAGCTCGCGAAAAGCTCGAGTTCGAGCTCGAGCTCGAGCTTGGGCGGCGGCTCATGCTCCGACTCGGACTTTGGTCCCGATTTGTCCGGTGACGCGTCGTCGAGCTCGTACGATTCGGGAACCATGGATAATGGGTACATTGGGCCCGGGCGTGGACGTGGGCGCAGGCGTGTGCATGGGCATGGAAGCGGGCGCGGACGCGGGCGCGGGCGCGGGCGTGAACGTGGGCGGACGAGGTCGCAGACGAGCGAGCGGTCGGTCGGCTCGTTGCGGCGCGGGCGTTCGGCCGATGAGAGCGTCACGGCGTCGGCGGCTGGCGCAAAACGCAAGGTGCGGCAGAAAGGAGGAAAGGCGGGGCCACGGGTCAAGGGTGACGTGCCGGGCGCTGTGCCCGCAGCCGCCAATCTACTGAAGTGGCGGACCAAGCCGTACGTCGGGCGAGGCAAGGTGCGGACAACAGCCAAGGAGCGGAAGCTTGTGGCTGCGGCCGAGGCCTTTGCGGCCAATGCGCGCAAGTCGGCGCCGCCAGTCAAGACCTTTGAGCCGTTTGTCCACGGCTCGCTGGTCCAGGCCAACAAGCGATACGGCATGCTCTTTGCACAGATTCTCGGCTCGCTCCTCGACCGCGACCTGCGCAACTCGTTCATCGCGTCTGTGATGGAGCATCTGGCCGACGCCATGGGCCTCTCGTTCCACATTCCGGCATCCGAGTTTTGGGGACTGGAGAAGCAGGCAGTGACGCGGATGCTGCGCGCCATGGGCCTCGATGCGCAGTACGGAGTCATGGTGACCATGGACCGGTTACTGAAGGCCGTCCAGGCCGCGGCGCCCAAGGTGTGGGGCGTAATGGGTATGAAGAAGATCCATTTGCAGACGTACATCGGGCTCTGCTACTCTTCGCTCCCGCCAGAGCCGTCGCGGATGTGGCCCGAATACTACGCAACCCGCGAGGCGTGGGTCGCGTCGGGCTTTGAAGTCGCCAACCTGCTGTGGATTGTGAGGCAAGGCCGCAAGAAGCTCCACCGTGCGCCGTCGTACGCGCTCGTCCGCGAGTACCGGAGCTGGGACGATCCGCTCATCATGATCCTTGATCTCGAGACTCGGTGCCTTGTCCGGCAGTACGGACCCATCCCACTGCCGGAGCATGCGCCCGAGATCATCGACGTCAACGCCTCGCTCCTCTCGCCGCTGGCGGCAACGCGGATCTACTGCCGCACTCTCCGGGCGGCGCTCATTCCCCGCAGCGACATCGAGTTTGCGCACCAGTACTATCTCGTCGCCGCGGAGCTCATCCAGAAGCTCTCTGGCGCACCGGCCGACGGACCCGCTGCCGCCATGGCAGCGGCGCTCATCTCGAGCTGGGCTGCAAGCGACCATGGCTCGGGTGCCGCTGCTGGCGCCGCGCTCATTGTCCAGATGCTCAACATCTTTGGCTGCGGCTACGACTCGGGCTACTGTAGCTCTGTTTCCGCCCTACACGCTGCGCTCGTCGACATCTCGCCGACTGTCATGTCGGGCTTCACACTCGATCATCTCCAGACCTGGATCCTGATCTGTTTTACTGTCCAGCCGTCGCGCGAGGCATGGGAGCGGTTCTGCGTCGTCCGCGACGCGTGGGGGCAGGGCGACCGCGACTCGATTGACCTCATTGTCTTCTTTGACATCACCCGGCGCAAGATCCGGTACGACCCGCAAAAGGGCATCCCGGAGCCGCTGGCCTGGGACGACCCCCTCATCCCGCTCATCACCCGCACTCCCGACGGCCGGCTTGTCCTCGACCGGGACGCCCCGCCTGCAGCATCAACCTCGCGCGCCCGTAAGGTCCGGCGAACGCTCGCCTCACGAGTCCGTGTCCCAGCCAGCGAGCGCGCTGATTGGCGACGTGCCAGCTCCCCGCTGCCAAAGTCATCGGCCACTCGCAAGCGCAAGCGGACATAGTACCGATGCGTTTGCCCACACGCAAGCGCAAGCGGACATTGTGCGGGATGCGTCTGCCCGACTGGAGAGACGTAAAGCGACATAGAGGAAGAGGAGAGAGAGAGAGAGAGAGAGAGAGAGAGAGAGAGAGAGAGAGAGAGAGAGAGAGAGAGCGGCAGCTGTTGTTGAGGCGAGCAAGTGACGAGTGAGTCGTGTCGGGAGCAGACGGCACACACACACACGCACACTCGACTCAAGTCGCACCACGCACACGGGCAGCCCACACATCCCACGGAGCGGTTTTGTGTGCAGTTGTGTGTGACAAAACACGGGATAGTCTTGTTGGTACACCGTCAAATACCACCACCATGTCGCACTCTTCGAGTTCTTCTGGCCCTGGCAAGCTCCGTCGGCTCATCGAGGGCGGAGTCGGACCGACATTATCATCATCATCATCATCATTATCATCATTATCATCATCATCATCATTGACTGCTTCTGGAAGATTAGAACGAGGAATGCGAGAATCGGAGATGGCAAAGATGGATGACTCGTCAAAGTCTTCTCGTGTTATGGAGAAGCCGGGCTCCCCCTCCATGCGCTCAGAGTCGAGTGCAGGGGCGGGTGCGAGCAACGGATCTGATGGCGACGATGATGGCGCTGGCTCGAGCTCGTACAGAGGATCAAGCTCGGGGAATGAGAGTGAGTGGAGGTATTCGCATGAGGCTGGTGACCGATCATCGGGATCGTCGGGATCGTCGGGATCGTCGGGATCGTGTGCGGCGTCGTCATCGCCGCGAGCGCTGCTGCCGTCGCGATCGCAGCATAATGCTGGATCTGGTAGTCCCGAGTCGACGAGCTCAGAGTCGATAGCCGATATGCAGTTGTCACCGCTGAAGACGCCGAGGTCGCGAGAGCCAGCCCGGCGGGGCTCGCGGTCGTCGAGGAGGGTTCTCACGCTGTCGGACGAGAAGAGAAAGGAGCAAGCAAGAAGGGAGCGTGACGAGGCGTTAGCGCAGATGAGCGAAGAGATGCGCGAGGTGCTGTTTGGCGACGAGCTTGATGACTACGACGGCTTCTCCATGGCGGACCTCCGCGACGACGACCCGGAGCAGGAGCAACGCCAGGCTGAGCTCGCAGAGTATGTGGCGGAGCAGACGAGAGCGCTAGATGAGGCCGTAGCGGCTGCCGAGAAGCCCCAGACTGAGGCCACAACGTCGGTCATCGAGAGCAGCCACATCACCGCTGGTATCATCGACCCACTGATTGGTGTTGACGTCGTGGTGGCACAGCAGCATGTTGTGCCGCTGAACTTTCCGCTCGAGGCCGGGCTTGCCACCGACGGGCTCGACCAGACCGCGCTCCAGGCGGAGATTGCGGTGCTTGACCGCGACTCGCTGACGGCTTTATTTGGCGAGCCGCTGCCGAGTCCACTTCTGGCCTGGCTATCTTCGGTGGTGGCGTACGGCTCAGACCGGCACGTCGTGCTTGCGGCGGCTGAGACGCTGTGCGCTGTTGCCGGCCTTGCCGAGCCGCTGCCGAGCGTCTCAGCCTGGGTTCAGGTCCTGGCCAACTATGGCTGCCCGACAGGCAGCGAAGAGCAGCCCAATGCGATCGCCCACGGGCAGCTGGGAGTTGTCCGATCTGGACCTCGTCTCACACCGTCGAGTGCCGACAGCGCGGTGGACGATGCGCTCTACGGCAACATCCGCGGTGTGCTGCGGGTGCTGGCGTGCGGGTTGGCAAGCAGCAGCATTGCAAGCGGCGAGGGCGAGGCCGGTGATGCAGCGTGCGTTGCACTCGGCACCGCGCTCCTTGCGCTTTACACCGACATGCGGCAGTCGCTCGTGTGGGCCGATGTAAGCTCGGCGTTGGGCGCGCTTCTCGGCATCTGCTGTGGGCGGAGCAGGGCGACGGACGCACTGGTGGCGACAGCAGGCGAGATGATGAGCGGCGCTTCGGCGATGGCCGACCACGTTGTGCGGCTGTTGCCGGGCGAGACGCGCGCGGCGCGGGCGTTTGTGCAGCGTGTCGCCGGCGAGCTGGTGGTGCGGCAGCTCGCGCCGATTGCGGCGCTGGGGGAGGGCTCCGGGCGAACAGCGCCGTCGAGCATGTGCGATGACGAGCTGGCGGGCGAGGTGCAGCGGGCTCTAGATACGCTTGCGCTGGCCTCGGTAGGTGTTCGGAGCCGGGAAGCAGCGCCGCTGTTGAGCCCGCTGTGGGCGGCGGCGCGGGCGCTGCCGCTGCTGCTAGGAAGCCGCAGTGATGCGCGCGAGAGCAAGTCATTTGTAGCACGCCTCGGCGCGCTGACCACAGCGCTCGACGAGGGGCTCAGCTGGCTGGCGCGGGCAAACCACTATGTGTCTGTCCCGCAGTTGGCGCTGGGTGACGCACAGATTCTGATGGAAGAGGTTGCCGAAGAGATGTGAGGCCGAGCCAGTGGATGGGGTTTACTTGCCGCTGCGGGGCGGGTAGCGTGCCGAGATGCCGAGTTCGCGCAGGGCGCGCTCTGCAGCTTTGGCGCCCGCGGCGATCTTGGACTTGTCGGCATCAAACTGCGACGAGACGTAGGGGCTGCCGGTGGCGGAGACCGGGCGAGCACATTTTGCGGTGGCGATGCTGTTGGCGTACTTGTTGAGGTAGTAGAGGTTGCGCATGGAGATGGCGCCCTGATTAACACGCGTGGCGAGTGTCATGAGCTCGTCGACCGAGACGTGGAGGTAGATGGAGCAGTATGGGCTTGAGGAAAAGTAGAGGACGTAGCGGTAGACGTCGTCGTTGTACTTTTGCCGGGCGGTGATGCCGGAGCAGATGACCCTGCCTGAGTCTGCGCGATCGACACGGGCGTCCATGCGGATGGTGGGCCAGTAAAGGATGTCGTGCTCGATGGGTTTGAACATAGGGTCCGCACGACGAGCGGCCGAGCGCCAGATGATGTCCTCGGCCGAGTCTGGGAGGGCGTCGCGGTCGTGCCAGGTGATACGGCGGACGATGTAGTTGAGCTCAAAGATGTCGACGGCACCGGTGGAGCAGAGCGAGATGATGGTGGCGGCCTCTTCGCGGGTGAGCCAGGCGCGGAAGTGGATACCCTGGGAACGAATCCGGACCCGCCAGTGGTACCACTTGGGGTTGTGCGGGTGGACGCGCGAGATGTACCGGATGTCGCCGCGGATGAGGTAGCCTGTGGGGATGCGGAGGCCGGCGATGACATTATCGTCCGACTCGGGCACTTCGTCGCGATCGTCACGGCCGACCGAGAGGCCGAGGGTGCGACGGGCGGCAAACTTGTTGGCCATGTCCTCGTAAAAATCATCCTCGCGGCCGTCGTACTCTTCCAGCCGCGGCAGGTCCGAGTACGACGGAAAGTTGAGGGAGAGCTTCTCAACCTGGCCGCCGTAGCTGGCCGGCCGCTTGCGTGGGCGTTCCAGCGAGCGACGGTCGATAACCTGTGGCTTTGGCTCGAGCTCGGGCGTCATGTCGACAACACCGGCCGATGGGCCGCGGTTGGACATTACAGCTGCCATGGCCATAGCCATCGTGTCACCAGCATCCGAGTCAGAGTCTGAATTGGTGTCCGAGGCCGACGCCGAGCCAGATGCCGAGCTAGAGCCTGTGCCGAAGAGCGAGTTGGACGAGGCAGATCCCGAGAGATTGTCTGGGATGACAAAGACCGGGCGGGCCGCAGCGAGCGGCTTCTGCTTCTTGGTCGCCGATGACGACAGCGAACTCGTGCTCCGCTTCCGCTTGGTCGATGTCGCGGACTTGACCGATTTGGCGGATGATGCAAGGATGCTGTCAATCTCCTTGGTCTTGTCCTTGGTTTTGGCCTTGGTCTCGGGCATGGCCTTGGGCCGAGGCTTCATGTCGCTTTGCGCCGATGCGGCCCTGTCCGAGGCTGATGTCTTGATCACGGGCAACTCGTGCTTGGCCTTGTTCTTGGCCTTGGCCTTGGACTTGTCCTTGGCCTTGGTCGTAGACAGTCCATCGATCTGCGCCGATGTGGCCATGTCCGAGCTCGACGCCTTGATCGCAGGCACCTTGCCCTTGCTCTTGCTCTTGCTCTTGTCCTTGGATTTAGCCTTGTCCTTCCCCTTCCCCTTGCCCTTGCCCTTCCCCTTGCCCTTCTCCATCTGGTCACTCTGCTCCGACGTCACCACCACCTCCTTGTCCTTGCTCTTGCTCTTGCTCTTCGCCTTGTCCTTCCCCTTCCCCTTCCCCTTCCCCTTCCCCTTGTCCTTCCCTTTGTCCTTGCTCTTGCTCTTTCCCTTCCCCATACTCTCTACTTGACCACCAATCTGTATCAGTCACAGTCAAGTGCTCGACCTTCCCTGTGCCCCCGCTCCATCACTGACTCAACTCCTGTCAGATGGATGGATCCTCTGGGGACGGCCAGAAGCGGCCCTACCGTCACAGTGTCACATCGCCACATCGCCGCTATCTTACTCACAGCTGGCGATTATAGATGGTCGCACGTGTTGATCGCGTGTATTTTACAACGTTTGTCCGCAGCAAACCTGGAATCGTGAGGAGAGGCACTGGCGGCAGAGCGCGGGTGTAGAGCGACGGTACGGAGAGATCGCGTGTGTTCCATGTGGGTTAGCAGGAACGTCAGAACAATTGAGGCTGCGAGTTCAGTGCACGGGTCATGCATGCCTTGGTCGTGCCCGGCCGATTGCGGCCGCACTCGAGGTGGCGTTCGATGGGGCGATGGCTGTGTCCTGATCTCTGCAGGACACGCCACGTGCAACATTGCACGCGACGAGGAATCCAGCTCTGCGTACGCTATACGTTCAGAGACGGGGATGCGTGCATGTCAAGACGCCACATCGCCCGAGAACTCTGACGAGTCCGAGTCCGAGTCCGAGGCCGAATCAACGTGCGGGCTTGGGGACGGCCGCGCGGCCTGGGAAGCACCAGAGCAGGCTGGTGAATCAAGCGAAAGAGATGATGGAGGAGAGACGACTGCGCCGTAGACCATCAGCGAGTAGAGGGTGATGCGGCCGTAAAAGTCTGACGATCCGGCAAAGACGATGCGGAGCGAGTGAGCGGCGATGGGCAGCGGTGACGGGAGCGAGATGATCTGCGAGTCGTTTGAGTCTGATAGAACGATTTGAGCATTTTCCACAGCATGGCCATCAACAACAACAGTAACGTCACGACCAACGAAACCGCCTTGAAAAACAAGCTCGATGCGCGAGAGAGCGAGCTTCCCGCCGTCGCCCATCAGACTCGCCTCGATCCATTGCGGCGAACCTGGGCCCGAGTTCCAGCACGAGTCTGGAGCACCGTCTACGGCCTTTTCTACACCATATGCCACCACGTTCCGCTCCAATGTCGACGACGCTCGGAGCGAGACCCATGTCGAAGCTGCGGCCTCGTTCTCGCCCAGCAGGAGAGAATCGTCCATTTGAGTATCGCGAGCGGTGTTGGCCGTCTCGCCGCCGTCCGGCCGCCGTCGTTGAGAGGCAGACAGCGGGCGATTTGGCATTGGCTGTGCACCTCCCTCTTCCTCGCTCAGCCCTCTCTCTCTCTCTCTCCCTCCTCCTTCCTCCCGGGTGTCGAAAAAAAAC